AATTTCTTCTGTCTGAATCTGAATTTCTCTATAATTCATTTTAACAGGTTTAACAGGCTTTTCTAAAACTTTTATCCTGGCACTTCAATTGACTATCTTTTTAAATAGTAAAATGAGGATAAGAAAAGTAATAAAGTGCATAATTCGAACAACATTAATCTTCTCATATAGTTGTTCCATTGTCAGACTGCCTAAAATTTCAAACAAAGCCCAATTTTCTTCCAATATACACATAAAACCCATTTTTTTTAAATGTGGAAAAAATTTCTTTTTTAAATAGTTTCCTTTACAATATCTGATATCTTAATTGACTTACCAAGTCTGCATAGAACAGTAGAAATCTGAGAGAATTTCAAAACAGCCACCTAGTGTCTGAGGTGTGAATCCAAAGGGGGGGGGAGAAGGAGAGGGAGAGGGAGAGGGAAAGGGGAGGGGGAGAGAGAGAGAGAGAGAGAGAGAGAGAGAGAAAGCGTAGCCATAAGTTCTGGTTAAAAGCTTAAATCCAGCCACGTGTTCCTGCTTGAGCTGAGTTAAGCCTAGGCTCAGGTTTCCTCAAGATCCGACCTCATGTTTTGGCTTTACAGGCTGGGGCCCTGTTCGGCAGGCCAGACCTGAGTTGTTTGTAGCACCAGCTTTAAGCAAGTAGCTCCAGCTGTGAGTAACCACTTGTGGTCAGTCCGGCCTGAGACCTAAGCTGACCTGGGCCCAAGGCGAGCCAGGCCACCTAGGCAGGAAATCGGTCTTGCCGCCAAGCCAAGCTAAGCTGTTTTTAATGGATTTTTGCCACGTGGGCACCATATGTGGATGTAACCAACCATCTTATTAAATAAGAAACACAGAGCCAATACAGAGATGAAAGCCAAGAGGTCAGAGCAATAGCTAAGAGCTAAAAACCTTACCCTTCACTGTCACTGTTGTCCTACCTCTCTGAAAGAGACCTACTTCCTGTGTCTGTCTTTTTTTATAGAGTTTCTGTTCTGCCTTCTCATTGGTTGTAAACCCAACCACATGACCTCCTAGTTGCTGCCTGTCTGTACAGACCTCCAGGTCTTCTATGGTTGGTATTGAGAAAGGCGTGTGTCTCCATGCTGACTGTATCCTTGAACACACAGAGATCTGCTTAGCTCTGCCTCCCAAGAGCTGGGATTAAAGGAATGCACAACCACCGCCCAGCTTCTGCAATAGCTTGCTATTAGCTCTAACCCCCGGGCAACTTTATTTATTAACATACAAATCACGTTTTAGTACAAATAAAATATCAGCATAACAAATTTCATTTTAAGTATCTATGTATGCATTCAAGCACCTAGAATATGCCATGCACAAAATGCCTCTTTGGTGAATTGATCACCTATGCCATTTGATGATGTGGGTTTCTTTCAATGTAAGGGTATGCATATATGCATACATATATACATATGTGGATATGTATGTAGATGTGGAATGTATGGGATAGGGTAAGCATCCTTTTAATTAGCATACATTTATGTGAAATTTCATGACAATTGTGTTTTTCCCTAGAACTCTTAGATCAACAGTCTCCGAACCTAACTACATGTTAAACGCCAGCTGCAAGAGCCACACAGGGAGAGTGAGGTTTCACAGCTTGTGACAGTGGTCAGGATATTCCTTAACAGCCAGCTCAGGCAAGGAGGTTCTCAGTGACAGTAGTGGCATGTGTGGAACCATGACACAATGTGGCCATCCTCACCACAATTGAAACAACAAGGCCTTTAAACCTTCCAACAACCAGTCATGATGCCCTTATCTGGCCATCTGACTAGCAATCAGGAAGGTATTGATGGATGGTGAGGAGCTAGTGTAAAGCAGCTACCTCAACACACTGTATTATCAGCACAGATAGATTTCCTGCATTTCTCTGCCCACCTGTCCTTGTCTTGGATTTGTGCATTCTAATCTTTCTGCTCTTGTTCTATCTGGAACCTACTCAAATATGGTTTTCATCCCACAAAGCTTCTCTTATGGTCATCACCATTGCTAAAGTGCAATGATCATTCCTAAGTTCTCTCTTCCCTTGACCACCAGCAGGTTTGTGGACATCCTTTTATTCCCTGTAGACTGTATGGGCTTTCAGGATACCACACTCTCCTAGTTTTCTGCAGAGTTCAATGGATGGTTCTTCTGATTCTTCCTCACCTTTTGAGCTCTTCACATTAGTGTACCTCAAAATGTAGTCACAGAACCCCCATTCTTTCTATCTATCTTCATTTTCATGATGGTGCCAACCAGTCTTACAGTGTTCAATACTGGTCTGTTTGCTAAAAGACTCTGAATTTTGTTTCCTCTTGCCAGACTTGTAAATGCCACCCCAAGTCAATATCTCACCTGAATGGCTAACAGCATCTTAAGCTTGATATCCCAAAACTGAAATTCTCATCTTTCCCCAGAACGTGCCTCTGTCCCTACCTCTCCTTGTCAGTAAGTAACAACTCCATCCAGCTAGTTACTCAAACCAAATACTGGCTGTCATCCTCACACCTCCCCTTTTCTCACACTTGTGTGCACTCTGTGAGCAAATATACTTATGGTCCTTTAGATGCATTCAGAGCCTGGCCATTTCTCCTCTGCTACCACCACATGGAGCAGCTTACTGAGTTCTCTTGCTTTCTATCTCCTTGGAAGTAGTAGATTGTGAGCTCCAGGGCTCACATCTAGAATAAAGAAAAAGTGTATATAAAGAACTTAGTCGACAGTCAGTGCTCATTAAATGTTATGTTTGGCTACAATTTTGGCCTTTGTTTTCAAGAAAATTTAAAGATTTGATAAGTAAAATCGAAGTCATCAACTGTTTGTCACAAAAATTGAATAAGTGTGGGTGGTTTGAATGAGAATGGCCCCATATGCTCATATACTTGAATTTTTGACCCCTAGTTGGTGGAACTGTTTGGAAAGGATTAGATGTAGTCTTGTTGGAGGGGGCCTTCAAGGTTTCAAAAGTTCAATCATTCCCAGTTAGCTCTCTCTACCTCATGCTTGTGGATCAGATGTGAGCTCTCACTGCTGCTCCAGCGCCATACCATCTGCCTGCTGCGATGCTTCCCATCATGATAATCTTGGACTCCACTCCTCTAGAGCAGTGAGCTCCAAATTAAAATGCTTTTTTATAAGTTACCTTGGCCATTGTGTTTAATAACAGCAAGAGGAAAGAAACTAAGAATGTGAAATTATCACTTTTAAGATTTTAATTAAATGAGTAAAAGAAAAGAAGTCTGTAACTATTGATGACTTAGCCCATGTGGGGTAGGAAATTCACCTCATTCAGCAAAAGTCACAAGGAAAGCCGAGTGGGGGGAGCTCAAAGCATAATGGCAATTTGAGTCATTAGAATTCTTTTCCCTGGTTAAGAGTCATTTTTGCCCAGAAAATAGTTTTTTAATCCAAGCTTTAATTCAGTATGAGATTACACTGCACAGTACAATACAGGTGTGTGTCACAGCAAGGAGTAATTTCAGTGATGTGAGAAACTGTTTCTCTGTAACAGCTGGGCTCATGCCATCACTTGTATACAGCAGCCTCATTATTGTGGGGGATGGGTGTCAGTTGGCAAAGTCCTTGCCTGCGGGCATGAGGACTTGAGTTTCATTCCTAGAACCCATGTGAGAAAAATGCTGATCATGGTGTTCATGCTAGTAATCCCAGTGCTAGAGAGGCAGAGGCCGGGGCTCACTGGCCAGCCCAGTCTATCTGGCAAGTTCCAGGCCTCTTACAGACCTTGTCTCAAAAAAACAAAAGTATATAGCACCTGAGGAACAATACTGGTTGTTCTCTAGCCTCCATACATGCCCACATGTACACACACACACACACACACACACACACACACACACACACACACATCACTATACAGAATCACTACATTCATCACTTTTCTCATTGCTATGACAAAATCAACTTTAAATAGGGTTCATTTTGGCTCAGAGTTGAGGGTACAGTCTGTCATGGTGGAGAAGATTTGCTGGCAGAACTTGAAACAGCAAGTGACTCTACATCAACAGTCAAGAAGCAGAGAATGAATTCTTGCGTTCACCTAGCTTTCTTCTTTCTATGCATTCTGGGGTCCTAGTCCATGGAATAACGTCACTCACATTCAGGGTGGGGCTTCCTGCCTCAGCATGATGTAGATAATACCTCAGACAAGCCCAGAAGCTGTCTCTTCTAGATTCTGCCAAGTTCACAATATTAATCATCACAGCTACTGAATCAGTTATCCCAAATAATAGGAGAGGACTCTGGAAAATCCTTAACACTGTTGTCTGAGGTCTCCATGGTACATGAGAAAGGCCTGAACTGTACAGTGAGTGATCCGGTTAAGTCTCAAATGCATAAATCAAATCATATGCATTGCTAATGAGTTAGGATAACCACTGTTCTAAATACGCAGAAAAATGTTTTCAGAACAATTAGATTATTTCATGCAATGAAATAATGTATATGGTAAGAACTATATTTAATAGGAAAATGTGTCATCTAGTTTTATTTAGTGTTTTAAGGAAATTGTGTCTATTCTTTGTCAGTAATGTTCTCCCTATATATAGCATGTATATATACCTACACACACACACACAAGTCTACCATATACTTTGTAATAAAAAGAATGGCGAATTACTTTTACTACTAACCACTTTGTAAAAACTTGAAAGTTTGAAACTTTAAAGAGCTAGGTAATAATGACCTTGAAGTGTTTCTTTTAGGGTAGGAAGAATGATCTTAATATGAAGTAAGTTACTTAAATTATTACCTTTTCTTTGTCCATGTGTAACCGTATATTGTACTTGGTAGAATTCTTAGAACAGCATAAACAATGTAAGCAATTTGTTTATCATAGTTAATTTTTGTTATATAGAATAATGTCCTTCATTGTGACATTATATGAAAAAGTTGCATTGCAAATGTGTGAATTCCCTTTCTTACCTCTTATGGGGTCTCTTAGTAACTCTGTGTTACTATACATGTTCATTTCTGTTTGTTTCTCTTTTTAGGAAAGCCTGGCTAAGCAAGGTTGGGAGTCCTAGTTCTCGCATTGACCGGACAGACTTTTCTAATGAAAAAACCATCTCTAAACTGGAATATTCTAATTTTAGTATTCGATATTAATGGGAGAAAAATAACAATTGTAAAGTTACATTGCAGAAAATAAAACACATTCTTAAATTTGTAATAATAGGATTAAAAATGGGAACTTTCTGTTCTGGAAATCTCAGAATTATATGTTACTAAAATGTCTAAAACTGAAAAACTTTTACCCACCTATGTTTTTAGCAAGAAGAAACCAAATGTTATAAAATAAAATGTTGTAACGTATCAGATATGATCATTCAAGTGAAGTATTGTCTTATGGAGTCATTAATTTCAGAAAACATTACAGTAAACATGTTATTTGGATAGACATGAAATAAAGTTAGCTATCTAAAATTATCTTTAGGTACTGTTGGCTAATAGGGTGAATTTTAATGTCCTCTGAATAATAAGTTACTATTAGAGTTGAGTAATTTGTATTGTCATTGAAGTCTTAAAAATGGTTAAAATAACTGTGTGTGATGATCACTGTAGCCAGAAAGTAACAGCAATAGAGTTACTGTGCAGAATTCTGGTAAACCCAGGCCTGAGTCAGGACTAAGCTAGAGCTCCTTGGCATGTTTGTCCTCATTGTTCTGTAGAGTGGAGAGGCAGGCTGGGTGACAGCAACTAGAAGAGCTTGTTTCCGTATAGCAAGCTTCAAGACTTGTATCTGCTCCCTCCAGCTGCAGTCCTATGACTAAAACACTGGAGTCTAAATAAGTCACCTAAGCTTGGACTATCAGTTGAGGTCTTCAAATGATGATATTTGAAGATGAGGGTTAATTTCTATATCATGGAATTGTAATATTGAATAGGAAAGACCTTTAACAGAAAATACTGTTTCAAATGTGTATATAATACATATGTTCTTCAATGATTTCTATATTGGTCTTTCAAGACAGGGTTTTTCTGCATTGCTTTGGCTGTCCTGGAACTTGCTCTGTAGACCAGGCCTCAACTCACAGAGATCCACCTGCCTGTGCCTCCCAAGTACTAGGATTAAAGGCATGTGAACCACTACCCAGTAATTTTATTTCTTTTATTGCATGTGTGCATGTGCATTTGTGTGTGAGTGCAGAAATGCTTGTTCCATGATGTGTGTAGAGGTCAGAGGACAATTTTTCATAAGCCATTTCTCTCCTTCTACCTTGTACATGTGTCCTAAGCTGTCAGGATCATGTAACATGGGCTTTTATCGCTGTGGTCCTGATTTTCACATTTTTATAATGGAAGCCTCCATTAAAACAGAACTTTATGTAGAATTGAACACTAAAAGGAGTTTGTTGCTGTGTTTTGTTGTTGTTGTTGTTTAGCACAGCTGGTGTGATTAAAATGGAATGGAGAGGCCCCTTGAGCTTGGTCTCTCCTTTCTTGATTTTTGGTCTATTTCAAATCCCGTGGAAATGCAGGCTGGAAACTATAGATGTAACCAACCTTCTTATCAAACAAGAAACACAGAAACAATGCAAAAGAGAAAGCCGAGAGGTCAGAGCTCAGAGCCAAAATCTCACCCTTCCGCCTGCGGTGTCCCAGCCTCCCGAATGAAGGAGCTCTTTCCTGTCTGTTCGTCTATTTAAAGTATTTTGTTCTGCCTTCTCATTGGTTGCAAACCCAAACACGTGACTGCCTCGTCACTGTCTGAATGCACAGCCCCCTAGGTCTTAAAGGCATATGTCTCCAATGCTGGCTATATCCCTGAACACACAGATATCTATGGGATTAAAGGCGTGTACCACCACCGCCACACTCTTGCTATGGCTCTAATAGCTCTGACCCCCGGGCAACTTTATTTATTACCATACAATCAAAATAATATTTCAGTACAATTAGATTACCACCACATTTCCCCTTTTCTATTTTAATAAAAAGAAAAAAAAAGCAAAAGGTTATAACTAACAAAAGAAAAACTATATACAAAAGTACAATAACTATATACAATATATACAAGTAATAAATACCTAAACAGGTATTTGACAAATCAGAGAAAATAATTCCATTATCTATCCTATTTTGGTAATTCCAAGATGTATCTAATGCACTTTCTATCCTAATTAATTTTTCAACTATAAGTAACTAATCTTCAATCATAACTAACTAATCTTCAACTCCCTCAGAGACCCAAGAAGGAAATAATATTAGCTAACAAAAATAAAAAACAGGAAGTGCATGCAAGCAACTTCCAAAAAATTTGTGAGTTGACAGAAACAGCCAGCTGCCTGGGCAGTCACCTGAGGTTTCTCCGCAGTGTTGGGGCATCATCTTCAGCCTATAGGCTTAGTGTATCTGACAGACTCATTTGTGAAGTAGGATGTACACAAGGTCAACAGTTCAATCTCACATTGGGTGAGAGCAGTCCATGTACCAGAAACACCTGAATTCCACTAGTGTCCTGTCATGATTCAGGATTTTAATTTCTGGAAATTGTTGACAGTTTTTTAATTCAGCTGTCCATTCTTCTTGGCTGTGTATATATGGCTTCATCTCAGCATCCCCTTCTTCTCCACATCCCTCTATTAATTGTAATTGTAATTGTAATTTGGGTGTGGACAAAGATACATACTGGGTCTTCACTGGGTAAAAGAGAAGCAGCAATGTTAAGACCTAAGTGAGCAAAGGATTATCTCAGACTTTGGAAACAGCCAAGAAGCTGCACTTTTCCCATGTCATGAAAACCTGTATCTTTCTTCCAGAAGCCCCTCTTGGGAGATCAGTAGGATGCAATAGGCACTCCCAGCCCTCAAGATTCTTATCCCCAAAGTACTGCAAAGCATCTACAATCACTGAAGTGGCTTAGGTTGTAGTCACAGTAAATGACAGACAATTGAGACCAGAGAGGTCAACCTGAGACACGTTCTCATCTAAGGCCTCTTATGTGTTCCTTCTGAGAAAGAAGGCAACAGACATGGAAACAGACTTAACTTCCCAGCTCACAGACAGCAGTAGAAAGAGGAAGATAAATATGTCCCCCCATTCATGTTTGGAATAAAGATCTGTATTTCTCTGTATATATGAAGGCTCAGTGGTGTAAAAAATATGTATATATGATATGTGACATTTTACTTATGTCCTTTAGTAGTTCCCTTAACTCTTAAAATAATTACACCATGCTGAAACAATCTTCTATCTGCACAAAGTAAATCATACTAATGATTAATAAATAAATAAATAACCTCTACTAGTGAGTAGAAATGCTATAGGTAATGATTGAAAAATAGGTGTATATGAATGGGTAGAAAACAAGATAAGAACACTCCTCCACTGTTGGTGGGAATGTAAACTTGTACAACCACTGTGGAAATCAGTATGGTGGTTTCTCAGAAAATTAGGGATCGAACTACCTCAAGACCCAGCCATCCCACTCTTGGGCATACACCCAAGGAATGCTGATTCATACCATGAAGATACATGCTCAGCTATGTTCATAGCAGCACTATTTGTAATAGCCAGAACATGGAAACAACCTAGATGCCCATCAATGGAAGAATGGATGGAAAAAATGTGGTACATATACACAATGGAGTACTACTCAGCAGAGAAAAACAATGAAAGCATGAAATTTGCAGGCAAATGGATGGAACTAGAAAAAATCATCCTGAGTGAGGTGACCCAAACCCAGAAAGACAGTCATGGTATGTACTCACTCATAAGTGGATTCTAGATATAAAGATAAAGAACAATCAGACCACAACCCATAGAACCATGGAGGCTATATATATATATAGCATGGAGGTCCCTAGGACGACTGTGGCTTATAATAAATTTCTGTTTTACTCAATTATTGAAAAAAATAGCCAAATGAATGGAAACACATGAACTATGAACCAAAGGCTGAGGGGCCCCCAGCTGGATCAGGCCCTCTGAATAAGTGAGACAGTTGATTGGCTTGATCAGTTTGGGAGGCAACTAGGCAGTGGGACCAAGTCCTGTGCTCATTGCATGAGTTGGCTGTTTGAAACCTGGAGCTTATGCAGGGACACTTGGCTCAGTCTGGGAGGGAGGGACTGGACCTGCCTGGACTGAGTCTACCAGGTTGATTGCAGTCCTCGGGGGAGGATTTGCCCTGGAGGAGGTGGGAATGGGGGGTGGGCTAGGGGTAAGGGGAAGGTGTGGGAGGGGGGAGAATAGGGGAACCCGTGGCTGATATGTAGAACTGAATGGTATTGTAAAATAAAAAATTTAAAAAAACCAAGATAAATAGGATAAAGCAATATACAAATGTGTTACAGAAACCAGATAACACACCTTAAATTTTAATTTGTTGAATTTCATATTTAATTTATACAAGGATTTTTAATTTATATACAGTATTCCAGATGTTATAATAAGAAAGGTTTATGTCAGAACTAGACATTTTAAAAACCTGGAAAAGGTAAAGGGAAGATACTTAATTCAGTGACTGTCACTGGTGCCTCAGCGCTCCTCACACCCACTCTGCCTGCCCCTTAAGCAACCAGAATTCCGAGCAGCATGACTGACAAGATCATTTTTCATATTTATACAAAAGTTCCTATCCTTTTAAAAACTCAGTCAAGAGGCTGCTGCACTCTTTGGAGGATCTAGGTTCAATTCTCAGCACAGATATGGTGACTCACAACTGTCTGTAATTCCAATTCAGGGACATACAGGCAAAACAATGTAAACAAAATACTCAAATACATAAACCAAGGAAAGCTCAGCAGGACTTGTTGACAGGAGAGGGAGTATGGTAGAGAATGCCTCTTATGTAGCAAGAGATACCCAAGGAACAGAAGAAAGCTCTCAGCTGTTTCTATCAGGAGGGGCATGAACCCAGGGTTCATCTAAAACTAGCAGGTGTGCTGTGAAGGCTGGCAACAATGCCCATTAATATGATTTTGTTGGAATCTGCTGACCATTATGACTTTTTAAAAAATATAATTTTATTCTCCCTTCCCATTCCTCACTCTAAACCCTTGCATGTACCTCCCCCCACTCTTTTTTAAATTCATGACCATTTTTTTCATTAATTGACATTACATAAAGCATCTTATGACTTTTTTGGAAATATATGTGTTACAAATATGGCTTATACATTAAGTCTTACCATGACTGTGGATACAGTTATCAGAAAATGTTCACCCTTCTGTAAAAAAAAGGACTTCACTTGAGCAACTAAACACGGCATACCAGAGACTTTGAGTGGTTCAGGAGGCCTGCATTCTGGGCCCAATCCATCCTCTACTTAGCAGTGTCCTGGGGCCCTCAGCTGCAGAGTCTAGAAATTAGATCCTTCCCAGATGCAGGTGAGCCAGAGGACACCCAGGGGTGATGAAGGGAAGCCAGAAAAAGCCATGAAAAAGATGTGGGTTGGTTCTTAGCCTCTGGTGCTGATCCAGGAAGAGCAGAGCCACCTCTCAACCCATCCATGTATTAGGATTGCCCTGGACATTTTCTAAGCCAAATCCTGGGCCTGGGGTGCAGCTCAGGTAGAGCACTTGCCCGGCATGTGCAGGCCTGAAACAGTACCCCAGAGAATCAAACAAAACCCAAACAACCAAGACCCCAGGTTTAGTAACTTGGGAGTTTTCTAAGTTTTGCCCTGATGGCCTCTGTCAGGCTGACTAGTATGTAAACTGAACCATAAGCCATTTGTATTGAGAATATACATGCTATGCAGAAAGCACCATAGCAAACAAATTCTTACTTCGTACAGTAGCCACCATAAAGATTCATGTCTCCAAGTTTGTTTTTATGTTATCTCTTATTTCTGTTTTTATCTTAACAAAGATGGAAATTATGCAAGAAGAAATACAAATATGTAATTAGTGGTTAATTTTTAAATGTTTTTTAAATTTATAAATGTCATAGCAACTCCTAATATTTAGATCTTGGATAGGAGGTAGCTTTTTCTTAATTAATTCACAGGTCTCTGTTGGGGAATGTTGATTTTTTTGTTTGTTTGTTTTATTCCTCATGTGTGCTAGGTAAACTCTACCACTGAGCCCTACCTCTGGCTATGGTTTGTGATTGACAATAAAACCATGTTCTGATGATTTTTTAAAATTAAGATTAAAAAGTCTAGTTCTTATGTGAGCCCATCAGCAGGCTTTCAACAGGAAGTGGTTTATTTTCCCCTTTTCAGGGAATCTGGATTATCCTTTCTCCTCTGTTAGGGGAAAAAAAATCAGTATGCATTCTGGTTAGATATTCCAGATGCATTTTTCATCTTCAAAGTACATTTTTATTTTATGAGTTTTATTTCCACTTTTCATGATAAGTGCTGAAAGTAACAATAAATATAGTCTCTCTCCCTTTATTCCTTCCATTTCCCCCCTCCCTCCCTCCCTCCCTCCCTCCCTCACTTACTCTTCATTCTTCATACATCTTAGATGATGTCTGGAGGAAGTCAGAAGACTCGGGAAAGAGATGTTAGAGTGTTAGAGATCGAGTTTCTATTTCAGCCCTCTAAAAAGTGAAATTTATTGTTGTGGATAATCTTTTTGTACACTGTGAAGATGTGTCTTTGTTTTAGCTCATCTACCTAAGGCACCTTCTGATTGGGTTAATAAAGACCTGAATGGCCAATAGCTAGGCAGGAGAGGATAGGTGGGACTTTCATGCAGAGAGGGGAACTCTGGGGAAGAATCTAAGAGGTGGGGAATTGGCCAGTGAGACAAGGAAGAAGTTGGATATATAGTGCTGAGGAGAGATAACAAGCCACATGGAAGAATATAGATCAATATAAATATATGTTTTAAGAGCTAGTTGGGAACAAGCCTAAGCTAAGGCCAAGTTTTCATAATTAATAAGAAGTCTCCATGTCATTATTTGGGATCTGGTGGCCCAAAGAAAGTCCAATTATAAATCATCATTATTTCACTCTACAAGTATGAAGGTCCAATTTCTACCAAATTCATCTGGATGAAAAGCATGCCTACAAAACTCAATCTGGAAATCTGCACTGTACTGCCTACGTCACCTTGGAGATGTAGGATGGATATCAGTCAAAGGGGAAATATATGGAATAGGAATCTCAACAATGTGAAAGGTGATTTTTCAAGGAAGTTTAGAAGACTCAGCCTTTCTTTCTTCACTGATCCTGATTACCACACTTTCTTCCACTTAAGTCACAGCACCCAAGGAAAACATGGTGGTGGTATAATGGGCTGTTCTTTCAGTCAAAGCATGGCATTTGAGCAAAGAAAAGAGCCTCAGAGGCAGAATCTAGGATAAAGTGTTGAAGGATGTCAGCAGCAGTGATGGAAGTAGAGAAAAACAAGGGGTGCTTGCTGCAAAACAAAGGCAGTGGTCGAATCCAGGCTAGAGGGAGTGGGTTGTGGGCCAGAACAAGTTCACAAAAAGCACCCCCTGGCCAGATCGGAGCTTATATTTCTTCACTTGAGTTGTAAACACATAAATGCTCACTTTGTAATTAAAATCTACAAAGTATTCTGTATTGCTTTTTATATGTATTATACATGCCATAATTGAAAGAGAGAAAGAAAGAAAAAAAAATACTAATGATACTAAAAGTGCCACAGTACAGTATGGGTTAGGGCAGATCAGTCATGCTAAGACTTTGAACACAAGAGGAATAGACTTTTCTTTTGGCAAATACAGGCCAGTATATAAATAAACTTTCCTCATTGAGATATGAATGCTAATGAAAACAAGCCTTACAAGTCACACAAAGCCCTACAGCCCAAGGTAAATTGTGCATTGTCTTTTAGAATAGCGGATGTGCATACCTCTGAAAACGATTTGTTGTTGGAAGAAACATTTCAGGAAACATCTGTTGATTCACTCTGTAGCACACAATGAGAATTGACCTCTGCCAAAGAAAAGCAGAGCACCTTTGGAGAAAATGTATACAAATTACAATAAAATAGATGGATTGAGAAACTTAGCTGGAATGAGTAAGCACCTGCCTGTACCCCTCCCTGGATTCTGTACCCCATGACTCTTCCCCAGGCCAGCTTCATCCTAGCTGGTCCCTGGCCCTGCTGCTGCTGTCCCCAACTCCAGCAGACTTCCACTACTAAGGTTCAGACCACACCAGCCTGCCCTGTCCCATCTCAGCACCAGCACCACTGTTGGTCCCTGCCCCCGATTTCAGAGGAATTCCACAGCTCTGGTGCAGCCCTCATCAGTGGTTGATGAGAAGGTGAGTAACCTGCCTGCCAGCTGGACTGCTGCCACCCCCTGAATTCTGCTCCACCAAGACCCACACCATTGCTTAACCCCTCCCATCTCATTATTCTCACTGTGGCCGGCCCTTCCCAGAACTCTGGCAGACTCCATAGGTCCAGACACAGCCCACACCAGTTGGAAGATCAGACGCCATAAGCCCATGTAGAGTCACATCACTTGGAAGAACAGCCCTAGAAGCTCTGCCAGAAGGCAGGCTGGTCCTAGGTATCCCAGAAGATGATTCAGGCTTTACTGGAGGCCAAGCTGGGTCTAGAGACCCAAGAAAACTTCAGCTTAACTGAGGCCTGAGCAGATCAAGGGATCCAAGTCCTCCAAACCCCCAATGGAGACATCCTACTGGACATGAAGACTCGCCAGTCACCAAAACCCTTGGCCACTTAGACCTGGAGATGAGAGAGGAAACAGAAACCAAGGAACAAAACACCCATCCAACAAAGACAAACACAGGAATCAACACCTAGACCTATAACCATCCCAAACCCAGATGCCTAAACATCAGTGTAGGAACACAGTCAACAACAGAAAGGGCAGTATCATACCACCAGAACCCAGCTATCCTACAACAGTAAGACCAGAATATTCCAACACAGCTAAAGCATAAGAAAATGACCTTAAAACATAAATTTATGAGGATGATAGAGGTCCTTAAAGAGGATATGAAATAATCCTTTAAAGAAGTTGAGGAAAAGACAAGACAACCAAAAAATTAGAGGAAATAAATAAATCTCTTAAGGAATGTCAAGGAAACCAAGAAAAAATAAGCAAACAGTTGATGGAAACATATAAAACTGCTCATGTGGGAGACCACCTGGGTAACCAGCTCCCACATTTTACCCCAGGGTGCTCTTGAGGAGAGAGGGATAAGAGATATACCTAGAAGGATAGAAGGGAGATAAACAGATAGAAACACAGGATAGCCTTGGGAGGGCCTGGATCCTGATCCACCAGCCTCTTCTGTCTCTTCTAAAGGACTGTTTATAGGAATGCCAGGGGATGGAGCAAAAGACCTCCCCCTAGCTCAGCCAAGTGCAGACCCTTTCCAATCACCTGGTAATCATGCACATGGTCAAACAATACTCTAATGCAGCTCTGCTGAGTAAAGCAAGCTCAGATCTAATGAAAACCTTTGTGGGCCTTCACATGCTCAAGATCTAAATATGGAAATAGAAGTAATAAAGAAAATACAAACTGAGGGAATTCTGGAAATGGAAAATCTGGGTAAATGAACAGGAACTACAGATGCAAGCATCACCAACAGAATACAAGAGATAGAAGAAAGAATCTCAGGCATTGAAAATATGATACAGGAAATAGATTCATAGGTCAAAGAAAAAGTTAAATCTAAAAAATTCCTAACACAAAACATCCAAGAAATCTGGGACACTATGAAAAGACCAAACCTAACAATATTAGAAATAGAAGATGGAGAAGAATCCCTGATCAAAGTCCCAGAAAATATATTCAACAAAATCATAGAAGAAAACTTCCCTAATCTAAAGAAAGACATGCCTATAAAGGTAAAAAGAAGCTAACAGAACACCAACTAGACTAGACCAGAAAAAAAGGTCCTGTCATCACATAATAATCAAAACACTAAGCATAAAGGATAAAGAAAGAATATTAAAAGCTGCAAAGGAAAAAGGCCAGGTAACATATAAAGGCAGACCTATCAGAATTACATCTGACTTCTCAATGGAGACTAAAAACCAGAAGATCCTGGACAGATGTCTTGCAAACTCTAAGAGACCATGGATGCCAGTACAGACTACTATATACCCAGTAGAGCTTTAAATCACCATAGATGGAGAAAACAAGATATTCAATGACAAAATCAAATTCAATCAGTATCTATCCACAGATCCAGCCCTACAGAAGGTATTAGAAGGAAAACTGCAACCCAAGGAAGTTAGCTATACCCACAAAAACACAGGCATAGATAATCCCACACCAGCAAAACCCCAAAGAGAGAAACACATACACCACCAACAACAAAATAACAGGAATTGACAATCACTGGTCATTAATATCTCTCAACATCAATGGACTCGATTTTCCAATAAAAAGACATAGGCTAACAAAATGCATATGAAAACAGGGTCATCCTTCTGCTGTGTCAAAGAAATATCAAAGACAATATCAAAGACAGACATTACCTCAGCATAAAGGATTTTAAAAAGATTTTCCAATCAAACAGACCTAAGAAGCAAGCTGGTGTAGCTATCCTAATATCTAACAAAATAGACTTCAAGCTAAAATCAGTTGAAAGAAATGGAGAAGGACATTTCATATTCATCACAGGAAAAATCCATCAAGATGAAGTCTCAATTTTGAACATCTATATCCCAAATACAAGGGCACCTACATTTGTAAAACAAAACAAAACAAAAAAACATACAAAAACTTAAATCACATATAGAACACCACATATGAATAGTGGGAGACTTCAACACCCAATTCTCACTAATAGACAGGTCATCCAGACAAAAACTAGGTGGAGAAATAACAAAATTAACAGATGTTATGACTAAAATTGACCCAACAGATAGCTACAAAACATTTCACGCATACAATGAAAAATATACCTTCTTCTCAGGACCTCATGGAACCTTCTTCAAATTGACCACATACTCAGTCACAAAGCAAGTCTTAATAGATACAAAAAAATTGGAATAATCTCCTGTATCTTATCAGATCACCATGGCTTAAAGCTGGAGTTCAACAACAACACAAACTACAGGAAGACTACAAAGTCATGGAAACTGAACAATTCTCAACTGAATTATCACTGCATCAAGGAAGAAATAAAGAAGATAATTAAGGACTTCTTATAATTCAATGAAAATGAAAGCACAGCATACCCAAGTTTATGGGACACAATGAAAGCAGTACTAAGAGGAAAGTTTATAGCATTAAATGCCTGCATAAAGAATTTAGAGAAATCTCATACCAGAAAGTTAACAGCACACCTGAAAGCTCTAAGAAAAAAAGAAGCAAACACACCTAAGAAGAGTAGACAGTGGAAAATAATCAAACTGAGAGCTGAAATCAATAAAATAGACACAAAGAGAACAATACAAAGAACCAATGAAACAAAGAGTTGGTTCTTTGAGAAAACCAATGATAGATAGACAAACTCTTATGCAAACTAACCAAAAGGCAGAAAGAGAATATCCAAATTTTAAAAATCAGAAATGAAAAGGGGGCCATAAAAACAGATTCTGAAGAAATCCAGAGAATCATTAGGTCATACTTCAAAAACCTGTACTCTACAAAATTGGAAGATCTAAAAGAAATAGACAAATTTCTTGATAAGTGCCACATACCAAAATTAAATCAAGACCAGATAAACAATATTAATAGACCTATAACCCCTTAGGAAACAGAAACAGTCATTAAAAATCTCCCCACAAAAAAAAAAGCCCAGGGCCAGATGATTTTAGTGCAGAATTCTAAAAGACTTTCAAAGAGCTAATACCTGTATTCCTCAAACTATTCCACAAAATAGAAACAGAAGGAATGTTGCCAAATTCTTTATGAGGTCTCAGTCACCCTGATACCCCAAACACACAAAACCCAACAAATAAAGAAAATTACAGACCAATTTCACTCATGAACATTGATGCAAAATACTCAATAAATTACTGGCAAACCAAATCCAAGAACACATCAAAAAGATCATCCACCATGATCAAATAGGCTTAATCTCAGAAATACAGGGATGGTTCAACATATGAAAATCTGTCAATGTAATCCACCATACAAACAAACTGAAAGAAAGGAAAACACATGATCATCTCATTAGATGCTGAAAAAGCCTTTGACAAAATCCAACACCTTTTCATGATAAAAGTCTTGGGGAGATTAGGAATACAAGGAACATACCTAAATATAATAAAAGCAACATACAGCAAGCTAATAGCCAACATCAAATTAAATGGAGAGAAACTCAAAGCAATTCCACTAAAATCAAGGACAAGACAAGGCTGTAACTCTCTCCATATTTACTCAATATAGTACTTGAAGTTTTAGCTAGAGCAATAAGACAACAAAAGGAGATCAAGGAGATACAGATTGGAAAAAAAGTCAAAGTATCACTATTTACAGATGACATAATATATGTATATAAGTACACATAAGGGACCCCAAAAATTCTGCCAGGGAACTCCAACAGCTGATAAATACTTTTAGTGAAGTGGCTAACTATAAGATTAACTGAAAAAAATCAGTAGTCCCCCTATATACAAATGATAAATGGGCTGAGAAAGAAATCAGGGGAACAACATCCTTCACAATAACCACAAACAATATATAACATCTTGGGGTAACACTAACAAAGCAACTGAAAGACCCATATAATAAGAGCTTCAAGTCTATGAAGGAAGAAATTGGAGAAGATATCAGAAGATGGAAAGATCTCTCATTCTCATGGATCAGTAGGATTAACATAGTAAAAATGGCCATCCTACCAAAAGCAATCTACAGATTCAACACAATCCTCATCAAAATTCCAACACAAATCTTTACAGACCTTCATATAGAAAAACAAAAAACCCAGGATAGCCAAAACAATCCTGTACAATTAAAGAACTTCTGGAAGTATCGTTATCCTTGATTTCAAGTTCTACTACAGAGCTATAGTGATAAAAACAGTTTGTGTATGGGCATAAAAACAGACAAGTGGGTCAATGGAATCAAATTGAAGACTGAGTTGTAAATCTACACACCAATGGACACCTGATTTTCGACAAAAAAAAAAAGCCAAAATTATACAATGGAAAAAAGAAAGCATCTTCAATAAATGGCATAACTGGATGTTGGCATGTAGAAGAATGCAAACAGATCCATACCTATCGCCCTGCACAGAACTCAAGTCCAAGTAGATCAAAGAACTCAACATCCAGTTACAATGAACCTGACAGAAGAGAAAGTGGGGAATAGTCTTGAAAGCACTGGTACAGGAGACAACTTTCTGAATATAACACTAATAGCACAGACACTAAGATTGACAATTATTAAATAGGACTTCATGAAACTGAAAAGTTTCCATAAGGCAAAGGACACTGTCAACAGGACAAAACAGCAGCCTGCAGAATGGGAAAAAATCTTCACCAACACCCCATCTGACAGAGGGCTGATTTCCAAAATATATAAAGAACTCAAGAAACTAGACAGCAACAAAGTAAATAATCCAGTTAAAACATTGGATACAAATCTAAACAGAATTCTCAACAGAGGAATCTCAAATGTCCAAGAAATGTTTAAAGAAATGTTCAACATCCTTAGCCATCAGGGAAATGCATATCAAAACCAACTCTGAGATTCTACCTTACACCTGTCAGAATGGGTAAGAGATCAAAAGCACAAATGACAGCTTATGCTGGAGAGGGTGTGGAGCAAGGGGAACACTCCTCCACTCCTGATGGGAATGCAAACTTGTACAGCCACTTTAGAAATCAATATGGTGGTTTCTCAGAAAATGGGGAATTGATCTACCTGAAGACACAGCTATACCACTCTTGGGCACATATACCCAAAGGATGCTCCATCCTATCACAAGGACACTTGCTCAACTATGTTCATAGCAGCTTTATTCATAATAACCAGAAACTGGAAACAACCTAGATGTCCATCAACCCAAGAATGAATAAAGAAAATGTAGTACATTTACATAATGGAGTATTACTTGGAGTACTACTCAGCTATTAAAAACAATGACATCAGGAAATTTGAAGGCAAAATGGATAGAACTAGAAAAAATCCTGAGTAAGGTAACCCAGACCCAGAAAGACAAGCATGGTATGTACTCACTCATAAGTGGATATTATCTGTAAAGCAAAGGGTAATTATGCTACAATCCACAAACCCAGAGAGGCTAGGTAACCAGGAGGGCCCAAAGGGGATACATGGATCCCCCTGGGAAGGGGACATAAAAGACATCTCCTGGGTAGAATGGGGGTGGATGGGAATGGGAACTTGAGGAATTGGATTGTGGAGTGGATAAGGGGAGAGTATTGAAAGAGATGACTGAAAAGGGGGTGCATTGGGGGGTCAGGTAGAAACCTGATCCAAGGGAAATGCCCACAAATCTAAAAGGATGACCCAAACTAAGACTCCCAGCAATAGTGGATAGGAAGACTGAACCAGCCATCTCCTATTGGTGACTACCCCATTTGTCATCAGAGAGCCTTCATCCAGTAACTGATAGAAACAGATGCAGAGACCCACAGCCAAACGTTATGTGGAACTCATTGAACCCTGTGGAAGAGACAGAGGAAGGATTGTAGGAGCCAGAGGGGTCAAGGACTCCACAAGAAAACCCACAGGAACAACTACCCTGGCTCATAGGAACTCACAGTCTAAACCAACAGAGCCTGCATGAGACCAGCCTAGGCCCAATACATATATGTGACAGTTGTGTAGCTTGGTCTACTTGTGGGACTCCTAACAATGGGAGCAGGGCCTATTCCTTGGTGCCTTGGCTGGCTCTTGGGAACCTATTCCTCATATTGGATTGTCTTGCCCAGCTGAATATAAGAGGAGGTAGAGGTGCTTAGTCTTACTGCAACTTGATATGCCATGCTTTTTGATACCCATGGGAGACCTGTCCCTTTCTGAACAGAAACAGAAGAAGAGTGGAATGGGGGGAGGGGATGAGAGGAGAGGAGGGAGAGGAAACTGTGGTAGGGATATAAAATAAATTAAAAAATTAATTTAAAAAGAAAAGTAGCTGAAGGCGGGGCACTGTGGTACACTCCCCTTTAGTGACAGCACTGCAGAGGCAGATAGGTGGGATGTAAGGATTATACCTGAGGAACAGGCAACATACACACTTTTGAGTCAAAGTCCATAATGGAATTATTACAGCCAACAGCAAAATATGTTACCAACATGGAGCTGTGCCTGCCAAACCAGCTGATCATCAGAAGTTTGGGGACAGTGGGGTAGGGGAACAGGATTGGACGGAAGCCATATCATGCCATACCTTAGCTCAGAACGTTCTTGGTGTCATCTTCTTACCCTCTGTAAATGCAAGAATCATTCCAAGTGCTCAGCAGGCCTGTACCATCCAGCCTGCCCTTCTAGCTTTCCACTCATTGTTTGCTCTGCCCCAGCTTGTTTGTGCCACTCTGGCCATAGAAGGCTCCTAGTAATGAGTTATCCCAGGCTTTTCTGCTTACCACTCACTCTCATGTAAATGCTTTCAGTAAGCACAGGCATGGCTCAGCTACTTCCTTCTGTCACTCTATCTATATGCCTTACCTGTCACCACATTTGACTGTAAAATACTCACTCTTCAGTCTCCCATCAACACCTTCATTTTCCACATGGAGCTTATCTATTGCCATTCACCTGCCCAAAGAAAGATGAAGGGGCCACGCCTATGCCCTGGGGGTCAGTAACACCTATGACAGCATGTAGCCATTGTCAATGCCCAGCAGTAAATATTAAATATAAGACCAAGGACTTAGCATAGGTGATAGAAGTGAGACCATGTACTCATCACTATCAATAAGACATGACTAAACTGATGACTGTGAGCTGAAGTCCCCATGAGAAAACCTCACCTGTGTGAAAAACTCCACAGGCTTGTTAACGTAACAGTGCTTCCATGATTGTGGACAGTTGAAATGTTGCGGGCACTGAGGCACATTATCTTTGGTTATTTTTGGCCTGCTTAGTAGCTATTCATTGCCCAGCTTTACATTTGGCCCCCAGATCTGTATTTGACCTAATATCTTTGTGACTACTAAGTAAAAATTCTTTTTGGAATGTACAAACAATACCTCTTAGCTTCCAACAAACCAAAAGTTAAGAATGTCATCAGATGAATTCTGAGGCCTATAGCAGAGATTTCCCTTCTTTGTGTAACTGCCCAACCTGATGTTCCCAAAAATATCTTTTAAAAATAGTATGATTTCTAACTTTTGGTTGCTAACATTTTATTTGGGGCAGCATGAGTCCATGTTCTTGGGCTCTGGTCACCAGAATAAACTGTCTCTAAATCCCTTTTCAGCAGAGAACTGTGTTTTTGTATCAATGATGACAAGAGACATAAAGTGACGACATCTCTATCAACCACAACATGACAAACCCCAGGGTAGCTCGCCTTTGCTGAACAACTGAACAAAAATAGACAAAACACTTGTATCCCCTGAAAAGGGGAATAGGAGTTTCTGCTTAGAGGTAACTTCCAGACGGCCAATCATGGAAGGGGGACTTGGAACTGTGCGGAGGGCAAGAGACAGAAAGGAGTCTAGGGAGTCTCAGATTGGTAGAACTAGCAGGGCAGAGCCCTGGAAAAAAAAAAAAAGCTGGGGGGGGGGGGGGGGGGGGGAGGAGCTTCAGAAATATTCACAGGTATTCCCTGGAGTTTTCGATGCCTCTGAGCCACGCATGTGCAGAATGAATTTCCACAAAGACACAGGGGGAACTGTAAGAAGAAGAAAATGCTAATGTTGGCACGGAGCTGAGAAAGAAGAAACCAGAAGTAGATCATGCTCCGGGATTGTTCTAGACCTATTACAAGAAACCCCCCCAAAAAAACAGCACTGGAAGAAGCCGACTAATCTACAGATAACTCATATTGCCAAACATAGCCTAACCCTGAAGGAAGGAAAGAAATGCCAGGTTCTCAGTCCTTAGCTTTTAGAATACCCACCGTTGAAATTTGGAGTGAAAACTGGAAACTGTCAGCCTAGTATTCTACATCTAGTGAAAATTTAAAAACAAACAAACAGACAAAAACAGCATTTTTCCAGATGTACCAAATCTGGAAAGAAAAATAGTTTCCAACAGATCTATGCTGTAAGAAAACTATCAGCCCCCAAACGACACTAAATATAAACTCTTTAACCCCCCCCCAGAAAAGCATTAAAAATGGTAAGTCAATGAGTGTTTTTCTCATTAAACTAAAAAAAAAAAAAAAAAAAAAAAGCGTTGAAGACAGCAAAGGTAAAGAAAGCACCGTCGGCCATGGGCTCCTGGCACGCTGGAGCGCTACACAATATGCAGTAAGTAGAGCTCCTGCTGGGGCTGAGCCGCCGCCCAGCTGCACATGCTGTACTAGCAGTGGTTCTCAACCTATGGGCCACGAGCCCAAACGGCCCTTTCACGGGGATCCCATGTCAAATATCCTGCATATCAGATATTTACATTATGATTCGTAAAGTAGTAAAATCACAGTTATGAAGTAGCAACAAATAATTTTATGGTTGGGGGTCACCGTAACATGAGGAATTAGATTAAAGGGTCATAGCAGAGGAAAGCTGACAACCATATAATGTGAACTCGGATTATGATAAATTTGTGCTTTGCTAATGCTAGACTTTTAAACACTTACAAATTTAAATTTTTAGTTATATGTCACATTTCTTTTTTTGTTTTGTGGGGATTTTTTTTTTTTTTTTGGTTTGGGTTTTGTTTGGCTTTTTGTTTTGTTTTATTTTGTTTTTTTTATGAGACAGGATTGCTCTGTCTTGTGTACCCTTGTTGTCCTGGAACTCACTCCATAGACCAGGCCAGCCTTGAATTCAGGGATCCACCTGCCTCTGCCTCCTGAGTGCTGGGATTAAAAATGTGCACAACCACTACCCAGGCATATTTCTTAACTTAGCCAGAAATTGCATGTGTGTGGATATTTGTCAAAATTCAAGGAATTATAGCCTCAGGTGCACTTTATATACATCTCACATCCAGTGTACTAGAGACAATGTCTCACGATGCAGATCCAGCTGGCCTGGAACTCCCAGCCCTCCTCCTTTCTGCTTCCTAGCACCGGATCAGAGGCATGCCTGGATGAGGTTTGGTTGGCTTGGTTTAACATTTGGGAATTTTTTTAAAGAACCCAGTAAAAATTAAAAAAGAAAATTATAATTGCTAAAGTTATAAATGTAGGTGTCACATCAAACAACAGATTAGATGCCATTGAAGAGAACACTAGTAAGCTAGAAATGGATTTGGGGAAATTGTTGAAAGACTGGATGAGATTAGAAACACCATCAATGGAATGCAAAGCCTTTAAATTCTATCATTAATCTCTCAAAAAGAAAAAGATGAAAGAGGAATGGTCACAGTGGTAGGTAATTCTGTGAAACTGAACCCCCAATTCTGACCTACTCAGAAAGCAGAATAGCATTTTAAACACTTGCAGGTGAACATGGTGTGATGGCATAAAAAACAGAAAATCTTCCACAGTGACTCAGATATAGGCCACCGCTGGAGCAAGTGTGGAAGCCAGAGGGTGATGGGGCTGTTTTTAAGTCTTTAGAGAAGAGACCACCATCAACCAGAAATTTTTAAGTGTGAGAGGACAAAGGATAATGACAGTCTCAGAAAAGTTATTCTGGTACTATGAATCCACTTATAGGTAAAAATTCAGAAAGCAAAGCTGTGTACAAATGTTTTCATCAAAACTATACATGTTTTTGTATTTTGGGTTTTTGTAGCTGGAGTTTTCTCCAGTCCTGCCTGGCCCACAGTCAGGACAAATCTCTCTCACCTGCCAGTCCTACAGCTGCTTTAGACCCAACCAAGTAAACACACAGAGACTTATATTGCTTACAAACTATATGACCATAGCAGGCTTCTTGTTATCTAGTTTTTACATCTTAAATTAACCCATATCTATTAGTCTATAAGTTGCCACATGGCTCATGGCTTACCAGTACCTTACATCTCGCTTTTCATGGTGGCGGCTGGCAGCGTCACTCTGTCTCAGCTTTTTCACTTCCGAGAATTCTCCTTTCTCCTTGTCCTGCCTATTCTTTCTGCCTGGCTACTGGCCAATCAGCATTTTATTTATACAGAGCGATATCCACAGCAGATTTACTCTGTATAAATTTTTGTGTGTACATAAATATTTTTTGTATATACACTGTTGTGTGTATACACAACATATGTATATATATTTTGTCTTAGTTAGGGTTTCTATTGCTGCAATGAATACCATGACCAAAAAGCAAGTTGGGGAGGAAAGAGTTTATTTGGCTTACATTTCCACATCATAGTCTATGACTGAAGGAAACCAGGACAGGAACTCAAGCAGGGCAGGAACTGATGCAGAGACCATGGAGGGGTGCTGTTTACTGGCTTGCTCCCCATGGGTTGCTCAGCCTGCTTTCTTATAGAACCCAGGACCACCAGCCAGGGGAAACCACCCACAATGGCCTAGACCCTCCCTCCATCAATCACTAATTTAAAAAATGCTCCATAGACCCACAGCCTGATGTTATGGAGGCATTTTCTCAACTGAAGTTCCCCTCTCTCAGATGGCTCTAGCTTGTGTCATTGATATAAAAGTAGGCACACACACATGCACGCGTGCATGCGCACGTGTGCGCGCTCGCTCGCATGCACACGCGCACACGCACGCGCGCGCGCACACAGAGGGTGGGGTTCCCTGTGGCTAGAACTGCAAATGAACTGTCTGTGATGATAAAATGTGCTCTGTTTGGACTAGTGCAGCTACTAGCTATGCATGATTACTGAGCCCTGAAATATGCACTTAATTTTTATTTTAATTCATGTAAACATAAGTAGTCAGTTATGGTTAGTGTTGTCATGTTGGACAATACAGCATGGGTCGATGAGAAAGTTTTAGAAAAAAACCACTAAACCATAACCTCCAACTAGGATACTTGCTTTGCTTACATTAATGCTTCCAGATTGTTTTGTAGGAAAGCATTTATGCCTTTAGAATATAAAATAACTTATTGAAAACTGCATACTATAGTGATATTTTATTTGTACTGAAATGTGATTTGTATGTTAATAAATAAAGTTGCCTGGGGGTCAGAGCTAATAGCAAGCCATAGTAGAAGCTGGGAGGTAGTGGTGCATGCCTTTAATCCCAGCTCTTGGGAGGCAGAACTAAGTGGATCTCTGTGTGTTCAAGGATACAGCCAGCATGGAGACACATGCCTTTAATCTCAATACCAACCATTGAAGACTTGGAAGTCTGTACAGACAGGCAGTGACAAGGAGATCATATGGTTGGGTTTATAACTAATGAGAAGGCAGAGCAGAAACACTACAAAAAGACAGACACACAGGAAGTAGGTCTCTTTCGGAGAGGTAGGACAACAGCGACAGTGAAGGGTAAGGTTTTTAGCTCTGAGCCATTGCTCTGACCTCTTGGCAACTTTATTTATTAACATACAAATCACATTTCAGTACAAATAAAATACCACTATAGCATACTAAATCCCTAACGCCAAATTTGAAAGCAATGATTTCACTAGAAATCATTGTTTTGTTTTGTTTTTCGAGACAGAGTTTTTCTGTTTAGCTTTGGAGCCTGTCCTGGAACTCGCTCTATAGACCAGACCAGGCTGGCCTCGAATTCATTAAGCTTCACCTGCTCTGCCTCCTGAGTGCTGGGATTAAAGGCGTGCACCACCACTACCCAGCTGATTTCACTAAATTTTTAAAAATTAAACTCTACCAGAAGATAAACCCAATTAGGACTTAATCTTTCAAAGCTGTGTTTATCTCTAGATGTTTCTTTAACAAAAACCTTTACAATCATTTCATTTAAATTAGTAAATTGACTTTGTTATGTTCTATTGAAATCAGTCATTTCTTTTTTAAGTGTTCTTTTTAACATTTAATGTGGTGTGTGTGTGTGTGTGTGTGTGTGTGTGTGTGTGTGTGTGTGTTTCTGTCTGTGTGCAGGTGTGTCACAGTGCACATGTAGAGGTCAGAGT